GAGTGGGAGGCAAGCATCTTCACCTCTAGGCCACCATGCCGTTCTGGGTAAATAAGTAAGTAAGTAATTAAGTAAGTAATTAAGTTCCGATGTAAAGGTGGTTTAAGAATGAAGGGAAGAGTATTTCAACGTTCCATTTTTCCCTAGTCTTGATTTTCAATTTTCAATTTCCAAAGGTTATTAAACCATTTTTTCAAAATTATTAAATGCCCATTGTGACAGTATGACTCAGTGTCCACACATATATCAATGTGTGAAAGGAGATGACTCTGTATCATGATATCATGATGGAAATTTCAAATTTGCCTTACCCAGCAAAGCTGAGGTTTGTGGTTCTTTAACATTTTATTATCTTTCTTGGCATAGTTGTTAAGTGAATCATAGCAGTTGTTAAATTAGTAACATGGTTATTAAGTGAATCAGGCTTCCCCATTGACTTTGCTTGTCAGAAGATCGCAAAAGGTGATCACGTGATCCTGGGACACTGGGACCATCATAAATACATGCCAATTGCCAAGTATCTGAATTTTGATCATGTGATCATGGAGATGCTACATTAGTCATAAGTGTGAAAAATGGTTATAAGTCACTTTTATTAGTGCCATTGTAACTTTGAATGGTCACTAAATGAATGGTTGTAAGTTGCGTAGTGACCTGTAGTGACATTGGAAACATCAGTCAAAGCCATGAAAAGATCAAAGCAAGGCAAGAAGTAACTCTTTCTTTAAAAAAAAAAAAGAATTCATTGAGGGCAGAATTTAATATTCAATCATCTTCTCCAACTATTTGCCTTCCAGATGTGCAGATGTGTAGGGGTTGTGGCTCTGATAAAATCTTAGCAGATCATTTATTTTCTGAATAAGTAGCTGTAATTTAGAATAATTTAGAAGTAAATTATCCCACTAGGTTTTTAGATTTCCTAAGTTTTCTGTTATTGGGTTTTCTTCTTCTTCAATAAATGTTAGGATTCTTCCCATCCTGTTCATATCTCCATTTTGTATGGAAATGGTGCCATTTTGGCAACATTGAGGTCCTACCCTGGAACATTTGTATTTCCATAAAAACATTCACTAACAAATAGCAAAATAAAAATAAAAATTAAAAGGCAGAAGTATAGCCAAATCAAAAATATAATATAAAATATAATAAACTGAAATATAATAAACTGAACTGAAAAATATAAGACAAAATCCTGATCAATATCTAATAATTTAGATAGAATTTTTCAAGTTTTAATAGTCTCCCTGTCACTTCTCTCATCTGATGTATAGCTGGACTGTATGATACACACCCAGTGGGCATGAACATTACTCAATACAAATGTCTCTATTTTCCATATTTTGATCTTTTTTCCTTCAAGTTTATTGAACTAGGCTTTAGTAGTATAGTGTACACATCCTGTATTCATTATAAGCCTTTCTATGAGTGATGTTCTATGGAATTTTTGGAGGAATGAATAAAGGTCTTTAAAACGTTTCAGACTACCAGCCACTCCTACAGACCACAGGCTATTTGTGTAGCAAATAGGAATACAATATTTAAAGGACATTAAAGAGGAAGGGTGGAGAAATACCTTCCTTCTTCTAGGAAGTTATTAAGCAACTAAGAGCTAGGGAGCCAACTGGCTCTGTTTTCCTGCCCTTTGTTTTTCCGACACATCACTTTGACTGCAAAGTGGACTACAAAGAGCAACCCTGCAAAGCCTGACACAAATAAATATAGGTCACAAGCTGGCAGCAAAATGTAGGAATTTCAATTTCAAAAAGCTTTTCGAGATACAGACATTTTGTAAAACATGAAAAAGAACTGTAAAACATTTACAGGCACCTGGTTCAGCCTAGACATAAAAGTTATATTTCTGAACCCTATATATTCACTGGGACTCTTATTAAAGCTATAATTTCTTTTAGCCATTTCCATTTTTCTTTCCAAATTCAACTTGTACATCTAAATGTTATGTCATGATAGATAGGAAGAAGGGATTTACCCATGGGGACATTTATTATACGGGTACTCCTCAACTTACAACAGTTCATTTCCAGGCCGTTTGAAGTTACAATGGCATTGAAAAAATATTCCATGACTATTTTTCACATGTATGACCATTGCATATTTACCATGGTCACATGATTAAAAATTCAGATGCTTGGCAACTGACTCATATTTAGGATGATTGTAATATCCCAGGTAAAGCCGTCTCTTTTTGCAACCTTCTGACAAGCAAAGTCAATGGGGAAGCCTGACTCCCTTAACAATTCTGTTACTAAGTTAACAACCGCAAGATTCACTTAACAAATGTGGCAAGGAAGGTTGTAAAATGAGGCAAAACTCAGTTAACAAATGTCCTTAGCAACATAAATTTTGGGGTCAGGTGAGGTCATAAGTTAGAGACCACTTACATTATTCATCTCTCCCCCTCTTCCTCTTTAATGTTATAAGGAATGCTAACAACAATAATAACATTATTTTTATTGTTAGTTTCAGAAATAAATAATTTTTATTTGCAGATTCCTTAATGACCACTTTGAAAATTTCTTTTCTTTTATTTCAGATTTATTTTGAAGATTCTCCTTCTGTTGCATACAATATCCTTGTGGAGTAGATTTGGATGAATAAATGATTAGCACAATTCACTCTAATGAGCTTTATTATGACAGCGATTCTTATTTAAACCTCCAAGGCCACATCCTTTACTCTTAACTTTGCATTAATTCCCATAATCCATGAGATGCCAGTAAGCTTCAGAAACGAAAGAAAGAAAAGCAAATGTCTATGGAGATTCTCAGTCATCCAGGTCATGGTTGTCCCAAAGGTGTTTTTTTCAAGAGGCAACTGGACTTTCTGGTTTTTCTTTGAAGAATTTTCACTTCTCTGCAAGGAGTATAATTCCATTCCCCACCATCCAGTCAGAGCTGAAGAAGCTTCTTGGATGAGAAGTGAAACTTCTTCAAAGAAAAACCAGAAAGTTCAGTTGCCTCTTGAAAAAAAGCACTTTTGGAAAGAAAAGCAAGGCAATTCATAGCTTTTTATTTCTTTGTAGATTGTCCACTATTCCACTGGTTTTGCAGATGTTTCTGGAATTTCTTTGCTAACTCTACCACTGACCTGGTAATGACAATAATAATAGCTTTAGAAAGTAGTATCTATGCTTGTTTCCCCCTTCACCTTCTTCATAGGTAGGCTGAGAGGTAGTGATGGGCCAAGAGGCATTCAGTTACCTTCTGTGGCTGAGGGTAAACTTGAAGTCTCCTTAGTGCCAATCCAGCATTTACACCACAATATCACATGATTCTCATGTGTTGTTATGCCCAAGGACTATTATATTGTAAACTGCTTTGGAAACCAATTTAAGTAAAGCTTAATATAAGTATTTAAAATAAGCACATGAAGAAATAATGAAATGCAGATGCCCATAACATGCCATTCTATATACTGTAAGCTAAACATTTCATAAGAGGAAGAAACCTTATGCACCTTCTTCAGACTTGTTTGAAAGATGCAGTCCTAACACAAGGCTGCCCTCCTGTATCTAGTTGGACTGTTGGTGCTTGTAGCAAGGCGGGATTCTGACAAACATCACATTTATTTGGGAGCAGAATAGCAATTGGGAAATGCTTACCTGAAGTAACTCTTAGAACAGAAACTCAAATATTTTCAGATAATATATAAATATTGACTCGCTTAACAATGAGAACTCGTGGCACTAAATGTAATCCTTTAATTTGCCCTTGATAGTTATTTTTTAGGCATCCTATTTTATCCACTTATTTATTTAATTAATCTTTTATTGAATACAATGTAGCTTTTTCTTCAATGAAAGAATGATTACTCAAGCATGGGATGAGTTCAATGAGAAATGAAGAATAATTCATGAATAATAATTAGTGTTCATGCTTTCTCTTTTATATTGCCTTAATGGAATCCATCTCTGCAGTTATTTTAAATGGAAATTTGCAGAAGGTATCCTGAACTAAAGGATATTATCAGGGTCATTTCAGTGTGGGTTTTATTTTCCCCGTTAATTAAATTTAATAAGCATACAGACTTGATAGCCTTTAAGAGAAATGACTCAGAAAGTAATGACTATGACCAATTGAAATACCTCTAAAAAGAGAAGATTGGTTCTAGGGAAGACATTTCACGAATTACAGGATTCCTATCATGTGGAAAATGCTGCTGATCTAGCAGAGCTTATGTTGCGTAGAAAGGAGAAGAGAAAAGGCAACTGTCATCATGTTTCATGAGAACCATGTTCCATGTGATTCCAGGAGGACCGCTAACCTCTGGAGCAGATTTTTAAAGTGGTTGAGCCAAACTTTGTGGCAAGGAGAGCTCAAAGTTTCTGTCTTTTAACTGCATGTTACAAAATGTATCAGTGTAGTAAGAGTTTTGTCTCTACAAATTCTTTGTCGAAGTTCATCGAAATATAACACAGCCTCTAGAGCAGTGATGGCTAACCTTTTTGTCATCATGTGCTGAAAGCGCATGTGTGCTCACACCTATAATACAATGTGCGCTGACCACCACCATCCTGCACACCATTTTGGGCCTGGAAGGCTTCCTGCACCAACTTGGAAGTGAAAACTGGACATGGGGGTGCTGTGCAAGGCCCCAAAATGCAATGCAAGTACCCCCTGCATGCGCCCCACCTCCCACACACATGTTCCCCCATATGGGCCCCCACCCCTGCATATGCGCAGCAGCAGTGATGTGCAGTCAGGGGAGGCAGAGCCTCACCACTGTCATCATGAAAAGAAAAAAAATGTAAAAGAAAAAAGGCTGAGGTAGTTGCTGTCGGACATAGCGGCAAGGCAGCCAAAAGTCGCTTTCTTTCTGCCCACCCCGCCACAGGACACCTCTATGTCGGACATAGCAGCGGGGCGGCCAAAAGCCGGTTTCCTTTTTTTTTGCCTCACCAGTCATAAACCTCACTGCATGTCACTGCGCAGCAGAGACCCAAAGCCCACCTGCCCAGTGGGAGGTGCATGTGCATGTGGGCTAAGCAATGGCTGGCATGCCCGTAGAGAGGGCTCTGTGTGCCACAGGTTTGCCATCATGGCTCTAGAGGTTATTTGTGTAATTTTGCATTAGCAGTTACTGCCCAAATTATACAGACTTATCTGAAACTAAGAACTTCATGTCTCAAATGTACATTTTATTAATGATTTAGGCTGTGCTTAAAACTGAGTCTGTATAAACAATACCAAATATCTGAAACCATGTCTAAACTAGACTATAGTCTCCTGTAGATAAAATATTGTCATGGCAGACCAGAGAGGCACATCAAAGATGCCTGGGTATATACACCAGTTACTGTACTATTCCAGCCCATAGAATTCTCCATTAGTAAACAGTCTCAAGTTAGTAAGACAGAAAGATTTATATCTTCTTCTTTATAAGCTTAAGGCATTCAATTCACATCTCAAACTAAACATGGGCTGGACTAATTTTCTATAATGGGGATGATCTTGGCTAACAGAAGGGAGAAACCAGAACATATAAAAGATAACTCACAAAATGAGGGAGGGCATAAAAAATAATGTTTCTGCCTATCAAGGGCCGAGATACTTTTTACATGTATGTTTTCTCACATACCATTACATCTTCTCAAAAATTTCGGTTACATGCAACAAATAGGCTAATTATTATCTCATGAATTTGCGTTGTCTCAATCACTGTCTAATCAAAATGGACCACCAGGGTCAAATCAGCTCTTTTAAAAAGTTATTTTTGTAATATAACCCCCACATACCCTACTCAAATAATGATCAGGATAGACAAGGCTTCAATGCCTTTACCATTACAATTGTATGTGCCACAACTATGAGTAAGCTACTGAGATATTATTACTAAATTATTTTTGAGCAGCAAAAGTTCTCAGTTGTTATAAGGAATCATTTAACTTAAGGAATCATAGTTGTTGAATTATAATTGTCCATGTCCAAATTCTAAACAATGAATTATTTACCCTCTCTTATTAACTTAACTGAAAGGCTTAAGGTAGGGCAAGATACATTTTATTATATTTTCACACAGAACCTGCACATTTAATGCAGGGATATTATCTAATATGGGTTATGGCTACTAATGTAAATAATTAAAAAGGAAATGTTTCTATTCTCACTTAAACCTTACATATTATGACACAATAAGTCTAAACATGTTTACAAGACATTCAGAAGGGGAAAAAACCCTCTGTAGCAATTTTTATGTTAGAAATCAAAGACTGCAAATTCTTTATGACTTTATCAGGTCAAATAAATAATTATTCCATATTTTCTTTTTTAGCTATTTTTATATAAAAAGAGAACATCTGCTTATCTTCTGCTGTATAACACTGATACTGAATTCTGAATCCATATAATAGTCAAACCACAAGAAAATATGACTTTGTTATAAATTATGTCAGAAACTTTTTTTCTTTTCAGAAAAGTAGTAATCAAAGCCAGTCAATGTCATTTTAATGTTCAAAGTTAAAATAAAAACTGGTTATGAAATGAGCCCAAGGGCAGATTTGAATGTCAGAAGGCAGATAGATCTAGGAACAATGAAATTGGGACAATTTGCCAAAATGTGGTATTACCAGCAGCAGGACAATATACAACTGGGGAAATGGTTTTTCTTATGCTAAGAAAATGCAAGCAGACAGTAACTAGAGACATGTGACACAGTTGTCTGCAAAGGCTAATTGCTGACAGTACCATTTATACATGTCCTATTAATAGCACAGCAAGCATTCACAGATGACATGTTCAAACCAATATTGCCAGTAACTATTTCAGAATCCTTTATTTAAGAGCATTACACAGTTTTCTAAGGCAAAGCTAAACAACCTTTTAAAATAGATTACTTCATAAAAGCAAAATATTGTTACCCACATTTCCCCTATATGATTGTTGTCTTCAACATCATCCTTACATGTTTCTAAATCTGTCCTTTAGAGGGGAGAGGGAGGGAGGGAGGGAAAGTGAGTGTGAGAGAGAGACAGAGCAACATTGTGGGCCAACATGGTCACTTGCATTGGTGAATACATTGAAGACTGTCTGGGCAGAAAGTAGTTTGCACTCAACAAAAAGGTTATGGAGCCATTTATTTTATTCTTTCTTGCTCATCTAAAATGACCCAAAAAAAGGATGTGTGCAGGCACTTTCCTTAAACCATTGTTTATATAAGAACCAGTTTGATCTAGTGGCTAAAGCACCAGGCTAGAAAGCAGGAGAGTTGAATTCAAGTTCTCCCTTAGTTATGAAAGCCAGCTGGGTGACTTTGGGACAGTCACTCTCTCTCAACCCAACCCACCTCACAAAGTTGTTGTTCTGGGGACAATAGGAGAAGTAAGGTTTACTGGATAGGGTTGCACAGTGATCTACTCATAAAAATAATAGGGGTACAAATAAAAATGTGAGAACTTCATATTAAGCTTTTGATCAGTAGTATGCTGATGAGAGAACTCAGAGCAAAGCTTGATCTTCCTCTGTTTTTCCGTTCTGATTTTTATCTTATACATTATCAATAATGTACAAATTTAAGCTGGACAAGGAGGGAAAAATGTCAGTTTAGAAAAATAGCAATTAAGATCCACACAAAATAAGTTTGACAGAATCATACAAACTGTTTTCATCATATCATGGTGTCACTGTACAAAGTACCAGTGTTCATAATACTTCCTGTCAATAAACTTTAAAAATCACTACTTATATCTAAAACAAATACCAATGTAGATTTTTATATCTGGAGAAATATGCTCAAAATATCAAACTTTTGTATCTGGAAAAATATGTTCAATATATCAAACTTCAGGTACAACCATTGAAAATCAATTGTCATATATCAAACACCAACCAACAGGAAGATGGTAAAGCTCTGGAGATCAACATGGTAACCACATTCTGTCTCTAATGGTAAGAAGAAAGGGAGGAATTAAGAAGTAGAGGCATTAACTCTACTGACTTTCTACCCTGTGTTATACTGGACAAAACAGAACAGCTTATCACCAGTGATGCAGATCAGAAAGTCATTGGCAGCACAATGTCAATATGCTAACCATTTTACTTCATTTTAGCACTGGAGAAAGATGTCAGTAGATGTCATGGATTCAGTTCCAGATAGCGCTAGTGAAATTCCCTATCTGGAACTCTGGTGTGCCGCTGCTAATCATAATAACAGTTTTGTTCATATTAAGGCAGGTTTTATATTCCCAAAGTATACCTCAATTTTCCATTGTTGTGGCATATGTTACACAAAAACTGAAAAAAATGTATTCTGATAAAATCATAGTGTTTGAGTAAATGACTTTCATATAGAAATGTTCTCTACAGTATAATTTGTTATAAATGAGCCATCAAACATTACTTTGTTGTAATAACATGGTTCTGCGTTCTCTCTCCCTCTGATCTTCCTTTCTATATTGCTCTTCCAATTTTTGCTTTTCAGGGTCCATACTGTATAATGTACAGTCAATGCTTCTTCTGATCAGCTCAAATTGACTAAAATCTGCAACGTATTTTCCATTCTGTGAAAGGGAAATCACAGGCAGAAATTCAAAACCCCAGAAGATCTCCTCTGGAATATATGATGTTCGGCTCTGACATACAGCACTTGTGGATTCTACTGTGGCATTCAAAAGGATAATGAGTTCAAAATCCTTTTCCTTTAGATTTTGGGGTGTCAGGTCATTTAAAGGGCTGCTCTCATCCAAAATGTGGTAAAAAGTCAGAGGTAGAATCAAGAAAGGGCTTTCTGATGATGAATCCACGTGGAATTTGACACTAGCTTGGTTTAGCAGAATCCTTTCTCCTTCTTTGGTTTCATAGGTCTGAAGAAGCTTTCCAGTTAGCTGGCACTGAATCAGGAGGCTCTTTCTCATATTTGCTACACGGATTACAAGGCAAAGCTGTCCACTGTGTTTGGTTATGACAGCACAATGGCTGAACTTAATGGTCTCAGCCCTTTTTTTAGGTCTAGCAATTTTGGCCAAGAAAGTTCCAGTAATGAAAATCTCAATCAATGTAGTGAGAACTAACTGCGCCACCAAGAGAAAAATGGCATGAGGACATTCCTCAGTGATAACCCGAAAGCCATAACCAATAGTTGTTTGGGATTCCAAAGAAAAGAGAAATGCCCCAGTTAGTGAATCTACATTCATGACACAAGGGACATGTTTCTGAGGGTACCTGCTCTCTTCCAGGTCTCCATGAAGAAATGCAATGGCATAGTAAATGACTCCAAAGAGAAACCAAGTCATGATGAAAGTAGCAGCAAATAATGTAAGTTTGTATCTCCATTTCATGTCAATAACTGTGGTCCACAAGTCCTGAAGATAAAGCAAGTAAATACCATCTACCTTGTCAATTCTGATATTACTGTGACCACTTTTAGACATCACACGAGGTTTGTTTCTCTTCATTTTAGCACTGATGCTACCATTGACTAGTGATGCTTGTGACATACTGATTTGTGTTGCTTCCATTACCTGCTCTTCAGACCTAAGGAGAAAGAGAGAGACAGGATAATAGTTACTGTCTAAAAAGCACCTCAACATATTCTGATAATAGATACAAAAACTAAACAATGGAAATTGCATATTATTCACATAGGTAAAAATGATTATATAATAAAAATATTATAAATGAAATATGTCACTTGCAACATGCAATGAAGTGAACAGAAAGTAGTGGCATTGTTTCCTACTTCTGTGTCAATATAAGTGATAAGTCTTTCCTTTAACAAATCAATTCCATTTACAAGTTTCTCATATTTATTAAGCAAGACAAGAAAGTAATTAATTAATGAACCAAACTTGAATTAATGAACCAAACTTGAACCAAACACTCAGTAGATCTATTTCTCATTACTGTATTGATTTACTTTTCATTTCCCAACCTCATTTTCCCCGAATATGTCCTGTATTTTTCTCCCCCTGAAAAATTTAAATAAGCATTTTGATCAGGATTTTCACAAATCGTACTTCACACATAGTGGAGTCAAAAGGAAAAGTAAATCTAGCAGTTTTGTAAGTGCATAGAAAGAAATCTTTACACCTGAAAATTCTTCAAGGCTGTTTATATCTTGAGCCTCTCCAATTTCAAAGACTCAGCGGAAAACAGACGGTCATTCACAAATTCAGCTTTTTGAATAGCAATAGGGCCCATCCCTTAGCAAATACAGTTGACATTAAATGGAACCAAAAAAGGACACAATATCCAGAACCAGACAGTGGTTACGTAGTACAAAGCAAGAACAAGTTAAGAGGAGTTTCCAATAACAAAACTTCCTGAACTTTTTTTTTTAAAAAAACACCCATCCTCTAAACTCACATCCTTTGTACTCTGGCAGTTGTTGCTGATGGTATTATTTTGTTCCATTGTTTTGCTTCAGGAGAGAGCTTTTAATAAGTAGTTCATTTTTATGAAGCACAAAGAGGGTGGGGAAAACATATTTGTCCCTGGTGTAACTACTTAAAAGAACATTTCTGGAAACCAAATATGAGTTTGTAGTAGATATTTCTGCCAGCCCAGGATAACAGTGTAATTATTCATTAGTGCAACTTTCCTGTTTTGTCAGTAAAATATTTATGCTTGCACCCATAACTGAATAACTGCTGGCAGGCTGAAAATAAATTAACATTTATTTTTACTTCCTTGAACAGCTTGCATACAACTCCCGAACCTCAAAACAACCAAAGGAATTGAGGTTCTCTGTAAGCATGAATGCAAAATCTATGTGCACACCCAAACACGCACACTGTGCAAAGATATTTAGATAACAAAACAGGAAAAGGAGATTCGAAAACGTTAGTGGGTTAGGGTTAGTGCTGCAGGAAAGAACAATAAAGAAAGGGTGAGGGCAACTTATTAGAAATACTTTTTGGAGAAGCTAATATTGCAGAGATAAAAAGGGAAATGCATCTGAGAGAATGACGTGAAAATCATCACAAACAAAATATTTTAAAAACGAATATATGGCACAGAAAATCAACAGGATTAACTGTGTTTGCCAGATTTTGAACAGGGAAAAATGTCCTGAGAAAATTTGTCTTATTCTCCTTTAAACTCAGCTGATCATGGGTAACACTCTATTAATAAATCACTGTATGGATCAGAAATAACTGTTTGGGAATGGGTGGGGTGGAACTGTTTTTCTTATATGACTATAATTCATAAATGTCTTCATTAGTGGAAGGCCAAAACTTAGAAAGTGGTACAATATGAACCTGTAGAGAACTTAGAACATTTTGTTCTGAACATTTGTATAACTTTCTCAAAGCTACATAATACCGTCTATGCTAGGAATAACTACAGCTATGGAATTTCCCCTAGGTAAATTGATTAAGAATTCAATTAATATCTTTCAAAAGAAAGTAATAATTATAAAAACTGCATTTTTTTTGTAAAAGATGGTGTTAATTATTATGGAGAAATTGATAATCTTTCCCTTACTGGACAAAGGCTATAGATATCATTGCTTTACATGCAAAGTATGATGGGTTCCTTGCTTTTCGAAATAGGCCTGGAGCTGATTGGAGTGCCATGCCTAGAGATTTTCTGCCAATCTGTAGATAATCTAGAACTAGATGAATGAAAATAAATGTCAATATGTCCTTGGTACATGACAATTGAGGTGTTAATAGAAACACTGGCATTTCAATTTCTCTACGGCTTGTTGGCACAACAATATCATGAAAAAGTTTAAAAATACACACACAAAAACTTTTAAAAAGAAGCCCCTCTCCTTTCAATGTTATTATTAAACATGCCTAATTTATTAAATCTTACACTGCCTTAGGAAGTAATGTCTGTCAAGAAGAAAAATGTTGCCCTTATTTCTTGAACTCTGATTCCAGATGTTGTCAGGCTGAGCTTCAAAGATTTGTTGAGTCTGGGAGCCTTGAGGGCTAGAAATCAGCCCACGTTAATCTTTTGAGTATGTGACAAGTTGGCTGAAGATTTGCGAATTACCAAGACAAGACAAAGCAACTGCTTTGGATAGCACTTTCCTTGGATAGCACTTTGAGTGCTACAGCTCCAGGCTCTCTTAAAAATTAAAACACCTCCCAAGCACCACCAGCCTGTCCCTGCAAGACCTACAAAGATAACTGCCTTATTCTCTGTCAGTCTTTCTCATCCACTGGTCCAGAGGCTTTTTTTAACTCACCATATTTCAAAGCAGCCTCTTTTCTATTACCAGTGTTCTAAATCTATGCATTTCTGGATTTTGACCTATAAACATTTAAGTATTAGAATAGCATCTCACCAGTCCTTGGTGTCTTCCTCTCTCCATTTGTGTTTCTTTATTAGGTAACATTCATGTATCAGTTTAGTCACTTCCTTTCATGTCCTGGAATGGATCCCATCCGATCCTGGCCTCTTGTATTCCCCTGACTTCCTGTATTCTGTTTCTTTCATCATCTTTCTTCTCACATGATCCTGAATTCCTGTTGTTTCTAACTTAAAACCCAAAGAAATGCATATAAAGAATTTCCCCTCCTCTCTGTGCCATGTTTATCAGATTAAAGAAGAGTTGCAGGGAATGCCGTGCTGTCATGATTATTGGATGTTCACTTCCAGTGCAATGACGGTTGCCTATACTAGCCGTACAAGAGGAAAAGACCCTGAAGCAAGCAGCAAATGTCTCCTCAGAAACAATCTCCCCCCCCTCCTTCCTCCCAATTTTGACTGACTTAACGCCTGGAAGCATGACCGATCGCATTCTTTCCAAACCTCTGCTTTGTTTATTCCAATTTCTCTGTCGTAACACTGGGTATTCCAGCTACTTCTATAAATGTGAGTCCATTTCAGAATCTTTTCAATGCCATTGACACATGATAGGTCTATGTACTCTCCAATCTAATTCTGAGGTAAGATTTAAAAAATATTAATTAAAATTCTCCTGTCATGAGTTGTGAGATGCTCTCCCTTTCTGGGATTGTGACGTACAGAGAAAAGAGAGAATGGATCTGGCTGTCCTGCCTCTAACCATGTCCTATGGTTCATAGTGGTGGTATAAATAATGCATATCTATGTGGGAAATGTTTCTTGAAACTCACAAAGCTGAGGAATGAGAATGTTTGGAATCAAGTTGACATAGTTCCTAGGAAGTGAGGACTGGGGCATTGGTAAAAATGAGTTTTAAGATGGCTAAATGTTATATGAGGCTACACTTCCATGTGCATTCATATATTTGCAGGAAAGGGACATGAAAATGTTATTCATTGTGGGTATTTCTATGACACATTTACCTTCTATTGAACTAGTATGACCAATAAACCATACGTTTTAAGAATTCAATGACTTGTTAGAAGCCCCAACATTCTTCTCATTTATCCCCCCTCCCCTCCAAAAAAGAAAAACAGAAGACAAATAATCAAGATAGAATGTTATACATCAGGAGGTATATCCTGACTCTTTGTGTTGTTTAGCTCAATGACTTCTGTTTCAGATACTTGCAATCAATTTTAGGCAGGTTTACGCTGGAAGAATATTCTTATCATATTGGTTTCAATGTTTAAACAATTTAAAAAATTATTTAAAAATATATATTTAAAAAAAACACAATCCAGGCTTCATAGAGCTCTAGAAATATATCCCAACTTTTTCTTTACCAGCTACTAAAGATGGACTTTGAATACTGTAGGTTCCAACTCAGAACTGAAATACAGGTACTTTCAGAGAGATATATATGGGTTACTACTGGTTCAGACCGGTTCGGCTGAACCAGTAGTGGTTTGGCGGCCTGGGTCACTGGAACCGGCAGCGACCCAAGCCTGCCACACACCCCAAACCAGTTCCTTGGGCAGCACCATCAGTGGTACCATCTTGTTTTTAAGTTATGCGCATACGCAGAACAATTTTAATTGTACTGTTCATGCACACGCAAAGCGCACATACGAGTGAACTGGCAGTAGTGCCTGCCGAAGCCCACCCCCATGTTTGTGTATGTGTGTGTTATACCTAAATAGGTTTCTAAACACAGAGTACTTAGCTAACAAATCATTTAATATTTATGTTGCACAGTCTGTCATCATCATTTTTTAAATGAATAGGCTTGAGTTAGATGTACTACTGGGTTAAACTTTTAGAAGTATAGTTACAGCCAGACTCATGCCAAAAAAGCTTACATATAGCTTCAGCTGTTTGTTGACCATAAAAGTCTGGTATGTTCTGGAATTTGTTTACTGTGTTTGAGGGTTTGGGAGCCACAATCATTTTTAAAGAAAAATTGCATCAAATCCTACATCACTTATTTTATTTAAGAATAATTTTAACAAAGGGAATGGAATAAAAAATATTTTATGCAAATAATCCTCATGACCTGTTCTACTCATTTTTTTAAAAAATGACTGACATTTCCTGAGGGACAAAATGCTAAGAGGTTTTTCATCTCTCCTGCCAGGAACTGATTCTCAGCTTCCTTGAATTCAAACATCATCACAGTGGATCTTCGTTAACACAACTAGCTTCCAAAAGAAAGATCGGTATTTTCCATCTCTTTCTCTCTCACCTTTGATCCTATTCATGGTGCGTAACTATTATCTGCCTTCTTAAGAAAGCAATTTTCAACAGAGTTTATCTTACCAAAGAACTAAATTTTCCACTCCATTAAATCAGAGCCATGTGCCAGGTTAAAAGCAGGTTACAGAGATCGTATCACCCACATGTACTTTTAAAAACAATATTGAGCATTTTAGTTCTGTATCATTTTACATTTTCAAATGCTAAAAAGGTAAAGGTTCCCCCACACATGCATGCTAATCGTTTCCGGCTTTAGGGGCGGTGCTCATCTCCGTTTCTAAGCTGAAGAGCCAGTGCTGTCTGAAGACATCTCTGTAGTCCTGTGGCTGGCATGACTAAATGTTGAAGGTGCACAGAGTGCTGTTACCTTCCCACTAAAGTGGTCCCTATTTTTCTATTTGCATTTTTAAGTGCTTTCAAACTGCTAGGTTGGCAGAAGCTAGGACAAGTAACAGAAGCTCACTCTGTTATGCAGTGCAAAGGATTTGAACCGATGAACTGCCAACCTTCTGATCAACAAGCTCAGCATCTTAGCCACTGAGCCACCACATCTCAAATGCTACATAGACACTAATCTGAACCCCATAGTTCCATGGAGAAGCAAGTTTCCCTGTCCCACTTTACTTACACAGAAAGAAAGAAACCTACTATGATTACCGCCATACGTAGATGAATGAGTAATACAGCCAAGAATAAAATCCTGAAAAAAACAACAGGATTTATTCACTTTCTTTATTAACTTTAATAAACAGGATTTATCCACAAGCTTTATTTTCTCCTTATTTTTAATGAGGTCTCAGCACCTCTGATCTCTCTTTTCTGTTTACTAGATGGATGTGTTACACATGGTTATCTATTTCTTAAATGTAAAGTGCCTTGTCTTCTGCTTTCCTCTATTCCATTAATCTTTTGTCTTTATCATATTTCTAATCCATTCACTTCAATTAAAGAGAATAAATGCTTGGTCATGATTAGAGTACAATAGAAACAGTCTTTTTCTATTTTAAATCAACTGCTATCCAAAGTCTGTTTTTATTTTTTAATTGTTTCCATACTATTTCATATTAATCAGTTAATTCCTTTTTTCCCTAATCTGTACAATGTGTACACACATAAGCATTTAAAGGTATTTTCTCCCAAAATCCCAAATGATCTTATCCTAAGTGTAGATTTTAATGTTCATTTTGAGTTTAACACTATTTTCAAAATTTGAAGAGTTGCAAAATCTAAACCATAAGCATATGAGATACAGACTGAGCTGGTTTACTTAAAAATGCAGGCTAAACAAAATCCTTGAGTATTTCTGCTATTTACCGGTATGTGCTTTTTCACTGATGAACTGACCTAATATCATGAAGCTCTTAAAAAACAGGAATTTACTTTATCGGCAATTTACTTTAATTCATTCCTATTTTAAAAGAAAGTTGGAGCAATTTAGGAACTAAGAATTGATGCTTTTAAATTGTAATGCTGGAGAAGCCTCTTGAGAGTCCTTTGGACTGCAAGGAGATCAAATCAGTCAATCCTAAAGGAAAATTATCCTGCCTGGCCTTTGGAAGGACAGACACTTAATCTGAAGCTCAAATACTTTGTCTACCAAATGAGAGGAGAGGACGCATTGAAAAAGATCTGATGTTGGGGAATATTGAAGGCAAAAGGTGAAGGGGCAGCAGAGGATGGGATGGTTAGATAGTGTCATCAATGCAGTGGGCATGTGTTTGGGCAGACTTGGAGAGGTAGTGGAGGAGGAGAAGTGGGATGGCATGCTATGGTCCATGGGGTCACAAAAAATTGGATATGACTTAGTGACTGAACAACAACACTTTTTCACTAAGAAGCATATAAAAATGTTTGTCAGGGGGAAAAAACTAAATCTATGGATTTAGGGGTTTAAAAAGGTTAGAAACAAGAATGGAAGTGAAAGTTCTGTATTTTTCTTTGCCTCTTTTTCCTCTTTTTTTGTTCTATATTATTTGTTATTTTCCTTTATTTTTTATAATTTTATTGTATGTAAATTTTAAAATAAAAATAATATAAACATATTTAAAAAGTAGAGATAGCACCTTTCATCAATATGAAAAGATTAAATTATCCAAGTGATAGATTTCTGTCTCTAACTTTCTTTTAGTATATAGCTGATAATTTTATGAGTATCACACTCCATAGACAGGAGATGATTATCCCCACCATTTCCTGATTGGTCATACATCTTTGATGTGTATTTATAAAATGTCAGAGCATTCAGATCAATCTGCTTTGGTTTCATTATTGTCTTGCTAGTTCCACATTTCATCCAATTCCACATCTCTTTTCGGTTACTTTGTTTATCTTACATCCCTTACATTATGAAACAGCTTTTTCATCTACCATTCTGCAATTCAAGAAAAGCTCATGCAATCCCTAAAGTAATTACTAGCGCTTTCACTAGTAAGTTACTACTGATGATAATATTCTTTTTTTCCATCCCTCAAAAAAATGAAGTTGGCTGTGGAGAAATTCATCGCCAAAACAGAAACACAATAGCAGGTAGATAAGGAAGACAAAACAGTAAATCAAATCTATTTGTATCATTTTGAGAAAGAACTGGAGAAAATCACAAAATACAAAGACCTGCAGATAGACATAGAATGACTGTGGCAAAAGAAAGTAAAGCTAGTATCAATAGTTATAGACACCTTGAATGAAATTCCAAATCAATGCACCACTTCAACACCATTGGTATTGACAAATTCACCGTCAGTCATTTGCAAAAGGCAGCTTTACTTGGAATAGCTTACATCCTGCAATTATATTTTTAACATAATCAGATATC